AATGGGACATGATCATTGCACTATCTCAAGAAGTTGTTGTTGTTGTTGTTGTTGTATTTTTTTAAGGCCTTTAATCAAAACTTTATGGGTTGACTTTGGCTTTTCATAGGATAGCTCCCTTAATCCATGTCACTCCCCAACTGTAATGTGCAAGAATTCCTTAGAGCACGATTATCCTAAAACTAACTCTACCTCTAACTCTAACTCTAACTCAATTATTTAAAATCAACGCAAACAATAACTTGTACAACATAAAAAAATATATTATCTGAGTCCAATACGAATGAACATTTTTCATTTGCCTCTGACAACAATACCAAGAGAGACTCGTTATACATATCTATTTGAAATCAAATCTACTGGATATCAGAAAAGATATGAAATAACTTTGGCCCCAATTTTACAGAGGATGATAATAAATCCACTGGTTAAGTAGGTCTTGATAATTTATCTTTATGCCTTTATTTAACCATTTTACCTTCAACATTACTTCAAGATGGCTTTTATCTAAACCCAAAGACAACTTGAACACAATAATACAGCATAAGAATACACAAATTTAACCTCTCTGTTTTGGATGACGTGACCATCACCTCATGAAAATATTTGATGCGAAGATGCCATCATGGGAAAATTTGGCACAAGGCTGGGGTGACGGGAACTTGCAGTCATGCGAATTTTGGCTGAAGACCAGGGTGATGGGATTGACTTGCCAAGAGTGCACAAAGCTCTTGGAGGGTGATTAGCCCCAGCGGCCATTTAGGACGAGGCTTCAGCTTTATTTCCATCAATAAATGAGTGTGGAATGTACCATGCATGAGTCATGACTGGAAGAGGATCTCTCCAAGGAGGATCTTATTCCATCCTCTCATAAATGGCAGGAAAGGTTATATTACAAAAACTTTTATATTAAGAAAAAACTTTAAAGATTACATAAATACCAAAATGTTACCTATTGTTATTATTATTGCAATATATATCAAGGAAGATAAAAAGAAGTTGTTACTAGTTGTTCCTAGAAGATTGAGGAAATAGATGTGCATTATTTGCCTTTGATTGAACTTCAGTGCACCTAATAATAATGATAAAAAAAAACAAGTAAAAATAGTGGATCAAGCACAGACAGGCAGAGACAGACAGGCAGACAGACAGACAGACAGACAGACAGACAGGCAGACACACACACACACACACACCAAAAACAACAATAACAACAACATACATACATCTATGGTTGAATTTATGTCCACTTTACATATTCTGGCAAGAAAAGAGCTTGTAGACCTGAATGGGTGATTTACTGTCAAACATGGAACCAAAAAGGGCTCTATTCTGATAGAATATATACAATGAAGTTTTGACAGACATAGGGGCCATGGTGATTGTGCTCCATTATGTCAACACAACTGTTTACCAATGCCTTTCATTACTGCAAGTTTCAAGGGGATTTGGTTAAGGCAGAGCCATTGTATTATGTGAGACCCTGTTTTGAGTCACTGAGGGCTTGTTATAATGTTTCCCGCAAGTACAATTTTGTCTAATTCTTTGCCTCATGTACAGGGGAGCATCTTGTTAGAAACATGTATCAATCACTTTAAATTATGAAGGAAAAAAAAAAGAAAAATGAAAGAAAAAAAAAAGGAATTTCTGCTTACTAGTGTTAAATAGCCTTACGCAATATAGAGCAAGCAGCACAGCAATACATCAGTGCAAATATCATTAGTACTACCAATGTTGCCCTTTGAGTAGGAACTGTTTATCTAATCCATCAAAAATATAATAATTAATCTTACAAAAAGGTTTTTCATTCCTGATCCAAGCAAAATTGGTAAGAATGGAATAGTTGTGATGTGATATGATGATAGTTTTAGTTAGCACGAACCAACTAAGCTGACATTCACTCTCATAGTTAGGGAGGATATGAGGTATACCAGGGAAATTGAGGGGAAATATACTGAAGAAGAAGAAGAAGGAGAAAATGAAGAATGGAAAATAAAAGACATTCCAAACATGGTAGAGGTTTAGTATATGACAATGAAACTCTCTGGAAAACAACAGCCTATGCTGAATTCTTAACCAAATGGTGCCAGGTAATCATAGTCTACTGTTTTCATTTGTAAAATTTGTTTGTACATAGATGGCTCCACAATGCTCAGCTATCATGGAGCTAATCAGTAAGCCTGTGTGGCTCAGCTTGTTTCTCTCTTCCAAGAGTTTTCAGATATATATATTTTTTTTAATGTTATTAACCCCTCTTCCTGCCATGGCTTGCAGACACTACATTTCACCCTTGTTTACCAGTGGAAATAATGCAAGAGGACCCTCCTAAATGCCCACTGAGTCTAATCTTGCTCTAAGATCTTTGTGCACTCATGGTGAATCATTCCCATTATCCAGGCTTTCAGCTTAAATTTTCATGGCACCATATTCCTGTCACCCTCAGCCAAATTTTTATCATGAAGGGATGGTCATGTCAACCACATCCAATGATGAACTTTACAATAAACAAAGTCAACAACAATAATAGTAACATTAACCCAATCGCCCTGGATTTATGCTCTGTCCCCTGCAGTTCTTTGTGAATGATGTTACATACAGATGGTTACACATGTGCTCAGTCAG